TGTAATAGCAATGTGGAATTATTAGAGGAAAAACGGGTGTCGAATCCTCCTGTAGCTCGAAAAGGGGTTTACGTGCATTTCACCTCACAACTTAATTGACCCAATCAATAAATCGATACGCAGCCTTGCTGTAGTGGCTGGTCCCAATTATTTAGCATCGGGCTTGAGCAATTAGCTTCCTGGAGCTTTGACACTGCCGGTGACAGCTCATTAGTCTAATCCGGCAACATCTCTTCAGCTACAGTATCCTTCTTATACAGTATATTTATAGAAATAGCAATTTAAAAATTGATAATGGAAATAGATGAGATGATTTCAGTTGATGCAAATGCCTGGTACCGCTCCACTGCTCACACAACAAGGCCTCACCCAGATTGGTCTCGCCGCCGGTTCCCAGATCATACCGGGTATGCAGGCACAACATCACTTTCAAGCCCTTCAAGCGCTCGCCGCTCAACAGCAACACATGCAAGCTGAATTCCAATGTTCCCGTAAGTAACTTCATCAATATTTATGCAGTAGCCCACGAAAATGGCAGCGAAAGGGTATATCGAGAATCCATTTGGTACGGTACTTACCATTCCACAGAAGACCGTAGGGTAGCGCTGCTGATTGTACCAGTTACAGTATCAAATTCCTGGCCATTGTTCCCCTTTCCGCTGCCACTGTTCGGTTTAGCAGTTTCCAAATTCTTTAGTTCTGTTCATAGGATCATTCCCATTCCTTCAAAGTGAAACGTTAGACCCTCTGGGAGTGCCTATCCCGAGACCATAATCCACTACGAGAATGGGAAGCTAGCATCTTGTAGCTCCCCGCAACTGTAGAGGCAAGAAGTATGCCATCTAGGCCAGGGCACATCGAACGCTCGGTAATCCCCGTCGTTGATCGGTCGAAGGAAGGGGTCGTGCTTGACCTGAAAACAATTTTTTTCAGTGTTGTTTGCTCCTGTTGCACGCGCCCCCTCCCAGTTTACGTTGCAGTCAAAGTCATACACAACTTCTGTTTTCACTAGTTGAATTTGATAGTTGCTTGGTGGCGACACCCCACCCTCCCCCTCCCAGGTCGACGGCAAAATTTTAGGAGAACTGGAAAATTTGTTGGAACTTCAAAGCTTTGCTAGGATTTACAGAGCCACGTTTTCTGGTTGAATCCAAAAGGATGTTCACAAGAGCAAAACGTGGTCCTTCCCTCTCCTCACCCATCCCCCCCCCCCCGCCCCCCCCCCCACCTTTCCACCGAATCGTGCCATTTTCCGATTCTGTTTGCTGTTAATTCCCAATCTAAGACCAAGTCTTGTTCCTAATCTCCTCTTTTCGGACGTTTTGCCTTCCGATCTCATAACGTTGAGTTTACCCTGCCACCACTGATCTTATTACATCCCCAATGGCGCATGAACGCCCTAATCAAT